TATTTCAGATATGACTGTGTACTGAATCGTTCGGATATTAACCACAATCGATTTGAGATTATCTAGCTAATAATTATTTATTATATAGGAATGCCCGAATGTTTCGGTGCCTTATATTTGTATTATTAGCGTCTCAGATCGATTGTGATTAGTATCCGAATGTTTCGGTATCACATCTGAGATAATTAAAATAAAAAAAAATTAAGAATGTATACTGTGGTAATAAGCTACGTAATTCTTAAATTTAGTGATAATGTGTACATATATTTTATATAGACGCTAAGCATCAGAACACGTGCAATTACATTAAGAATTTATTAGGCTCTATAAAATAAAAATGTGATTTAAACACGGTTTTGAAACAGTGTTCGCATACATCATAAACTGTCGTAAAGGATGCTTTTTTTATTTACTGCCATATTGTGTCACAGGCCAAAGTTCATAGTCAATTATATTTTAAGATTGTCTTAAATAGTCTTAAGATGTCATAAACCAACATACAGAAACAACTGTACTAGCATCTTAAGACGTTACTTAAGATGCTTAAAATAAGAAGCGACTACAAACATACCGGTCACAGTCTAGGCTAATAAGAGATTATTATTTGTGATTCGATCCATAAAAAAAAAGTATTAATGTAGAAAATATCATATGTACCGCACAAAATACGAAATGATACACACTTGTGAGTTCTTCCTTGCATGAATAGCTATTAATTTTATATTGCATCCTTGTGCACATATTGCATCTTTTGCCATGTGGTAAAGATGTCATTAATGCCATGTTTTCTCTAAATATGTGTTAAATTAATTTCGAGATATTTCCGATTGTGCATATTTCGCAAGTCTATGCACAGATTTTGAATCATTAAATATTCACTGTCGCAAATTCTCGTTCGATGTATTCTTTTATTTCTTCAAGGATGTATTACATATATTCAAAAAATAAAAAAATTATGAAAACATTGTAATAATAAAACAAAAAAATTTTTTTGACGGCGATTTAGAACTCAGATAAAAAAAATTGTTGCAATATAAGTAGTCTGTTTTTTCAGCTTTATCAGAGCTCCAATGGAATTGTATAGAAATGTATTGTAAAATAATAACAAAAATCTATATTAAATTTTTTAATATAATTACTTTAACTATTCAAGATGATTTATACAGTTTTATTGCGATGGAGAAATTAGTTTTGTAAATAAACAAAATTTATTTACTTATTTATTAAACAAAACGATTAATTTCTGCATTATAATGAAAATTTATATAGATCATCTTAAAAAAGTAGTAGTTGTACAAAAAATTCAATTTTTGTCATTATTTAAAAAATGTCAACGTTAACAAATAATGTTAACAAATAATAATACCAATAAAGTAAATAAACTATAAAAATATGTTGTTCAATAAAAATAGAATGTTATAGACATAACTTTCATATGTATATAGTTTATTTAAAATATAAAAATCAAAATGTAAAAATTAGTGATACATCCTTAAAGCATTAGAAGTAAACGCAAGCTATAACAAAAGATTATTGCGTCTGTTCAATTAGAGCTAGACGACAGGTCCGAAGCCCAGCCACAGGAAACAACAACCACATTCGATTATAAGCGAATTTAATGGAAAGGACATAATGTCGCAGCGATCATATGTTCGCACATCCTGTTGCGATCTCAATGTTAATATTAGTTGGAAATTTCTTTGATTACGGACTTCTGTTCAAGTTTCATTAAGTTAGCCGCTAAGAGAGTTTACGCAAGATTGGAAGGCATCGCCGTGCTTCAACGTAAAAAAATCGTTTCTAATTTACGGACACGAGGTGATAGAGTTCTTACATTATTCCTCTCGACTGTGTATGGATTTTCCCAATAGCGGTGTTCCATATTGCCTCGACAACATTGTCGCGATATCTTGCTAGAAAACATCGCGCAGAATAATTATAGTGGCAAGTCGATGAATCATCGCTGTAAAAATTATCCGTTTGCTCCAAGTATGAGATAGGTGTCGAATGTTCGCTGTAATTATTGCGAGCGATATTTTTTTAACAATATCGACAAACGTCGTTAATAGAAAATACGACATTGTCGTCCAGCCGTACTATAATATAATCTGTTTTTTTCCACACAAGTAAAAGATATATTTTATTATTAAAAAAAAAATAGGAAACCTACAGTGATTGCAAAAAATAATTCATATATGAGAGATACATACATGTTTAAAAAAAAAACTTTATTTTTAGAAAGTAAACATTAATTAGCAATTTATTAATAAAGAATAAAATAGATTGTGTATTTTTCAAAATTACTGTACCTAAAAAGATGTAATAATTAAAACATATTTATATATAATAATAAGTAATTATATATAAATTATATAATAAGTAAAAAATTGTATTATTTGGATGCACCAAATGTATTCGCACAATCGAAAAATTTAACTTCTTAAAATCATGAACACGATTATTTTCGTAAAACTCTTTCGTTTATATTAGGAGAGAATATACTCATTGTTAATAAAATGCTAATTAATGTTTTTTTTCTACAAATAAGGCTTTTTAAATGTATGAATACATTTTGCATTCACTGTACTTATAAACTTGTTGCAGTAACAAGTGAAAATATATTGAAAAAGTTCAATGTATTTTCAGTTATTACAACAAGTTGTTCAGAAATTGAAGAGTCGACCTCTCTATGTAGTAATATATGCTAACGTTCAAGCCTATTACGCTAAATTGATAGAATGAATATATATGATCGCTACGCGCGTGGCAACGTATAACCGATGATTAATTATCATGTAAATATAACAAAAGGTAACGAAATAAAAGTAACAAAGTATCGTTACTTGTAATATCTGAGTATTTATAATAATATCTGAATCAGGTACTCCTTTTCTCTCCTCAATCGCGCTGAGATGTTTTGTGATTTCCTTTTTCGACACTGGGCGACACTACAAAAGTCGTATAAAAGAAGAAAATTTGTAAATATACGCATACGAGGGCTTGAGGCAATAGGATATTAAGCCACGCAAAAATCTCAGCTTGTGCTCTTTAACGTAACTAGAATATTTGAGTCCAGATGATCCTGGAACATTTTTCTAATTTTCAAATAGTATAACGATTTTAAATAATTTTATGTTTCACAATCTCATCTTTCACAATTTTGTTCTAATCATATAGGCTCATTATTGTATACTATATTTATATTAAGTTTAAGTATTGCAATTTTCAAAGAAAATAAATTTAATAATTAAAAAATTTAGTACTTTTCAAATATTCATATGTTCCAGTCACAAAAATGTGTTCGTGTAACAGGTTAATCGAAATCGATGTAGTTTCGGCAAAACGAATCTTGCAATTCAGAAATGATATTAAAGAACAAGCATAGATATTGTATAATAAAATAAGCTTACTCTTGTACGATTTGTGCGAAAATTCTTTAAAATGTCCTCGTGACTTGCCGTATTATTGCCTCAAGTACTTTATCTTAAATTTTAAATATTAAGTGATAGTGAATCATGGAAAAATCATTATTTATTAAAAACGTAATATTTGTGACGTTTGTAGATAATTACATAAATAATAAATAATTTCTAAACTTAATAATGCGTAGGGTATAGTATAATTTGTATTTACCGTTGTCTATAAAATTAGCAGATATCTTGTAAAAATGTGTACTTTTTAATGCCTTAAATGTTATTATTTCTAGATATAATTCTTCTATTTTTTTAATATTCCGTAAAAATAAAATTCCATAATTTGAAAATTATCTTTTTTTTGCGATGAATGATTAGATAGATTCCAATTAGATATGTATGCACACGTTTATTGTAACAAAGGCTAGCAAAATGCAATTGCGCCGTGTTTATATCTAAAGTTTAGTTCTTTAAACTGCATTACGAAAAAAAAAAGAATTATCGGCAACAACAAAAAATTGTTACCCTGAATAGAAAATCATAATCGAATTGTATTATTGTATTATTGAGAATGTGAATTTCATTCAATAAATATCCTAATTAAAATTCATCGATGCACATGTTTTTGTATAAATCGTACTGTTTCACAGGCGACTTGACGGGCGGAAATCAGACAAAGCGAAGATAAAAATCGTGCGGATTTAGATTTATTTACGAAATGCGTTTATTTTTACACAAATTTTTACACAATGCTTAAGTGATCAAAATGATTTAATGTAATTCGAGTACAATCAGAGATCTAATACGTTAAGCTATATCGGGATGTCGCTATGAGGATGTCTTAATCTAATGCACACTTTTTTTTTCTTCAAATACTAATAATGATATAATGATTTGTTATGTGTAACATTAATGACGAAAAGAAGACGGTAAATTGCGAGGGGAAAAGGAACGCTAATGAATAGTGTCTAACCAAAATTATTTAACAAAATTGTCGGCGCGTAAATTAAATTGCATAAATTCGTGAATATCCCAGTAAGCGTAAACCAAAAAGCCGTGTCAAGTGCTTCGCGTTTCGAAGAAAAGGGGGAAAAGAGAAAATAAAAGTGGCTAATTTGCGTATTGCGAAGTCGACAATCGAAATTCGTGTCTTACAGAAATTTAATACCGAAAGGTGATGATTAATTATTTATTTTGAATGTTAAAAACACTGAACAAGAGTGCTTTTAACACTCAAAACAAATAATTCATCACTGGCCGTGTTCAAGCCGGACGAAACAACATTCGGCCTGCTCGTCGAAATGAATGTAATCGATTGAATCTATCAATCACGTCCGCTTAGCGAACAAACTTTGCCTAGCTGCTTTGCCAACTTGAACACGGCCACTACTCTTTCAGTAAATTAGTCAGCCAGCGTTAAAATGAATTTCAGTAAGGTTTGAAAATGAGGATGATCACTGGAGGGATAATACTACTGCGCGTATCTCTATGCAAAAGTAAAACAATATAATAGAGCTTGGAATGAAAGTGCTTCATCCATGACGATTGCGAACGATAATTAATGATAATAATTAATAATAATAATAATAATAGTAATAATAATGGTCGTAATGAACGGTATGTATGCGAGTTACATAGCGTCTCTTAAGCACGCTCGCCACGGATTCGTCGGGCCAGCTGGATGTCTTTAGGCATGATCGTGACGCGCTTTGCGTGGATCGCGCACAGATTGGTGTCCTCGAAGAGACCAACGAGGTACGCCTCAGACGCTTCCTGGAGAGCGCCGATGGCGGCGCTCTGGAAACGCAGATCGGTCTTGAAATCCTGCGCGATTTCACGAACCAGCCGCTGGAACGGCAATTTCCTGATCAGCAGCTCAGTCGACTTCTGGTATCTTCGAATTTCTCGAAGAGCCACGGTACCGGGCCTATCATGGAAATTACAGAAATGAATATTAATCGTGACAAATCCGAGTTTAGAGTCATTTCAACGTTTTGAGACAAGTCTTTTATTATTTTATTATTATTTCTTTTTTTGTTTCCATACCTGTAACGATGCGGCTTCTTCACGCCACCGGTGGACGGAGCGCTCTTCCTGGCCGCCTTCGTCGCGAGCTGCTTACGGGGAGCTTTTCCTCCTGTTGACTTACGGGCCGTTTGCTTGGTACGCGCCATGATTCAACCTGTGACAACAATTGTCGGACTAATATTGGATCTGATTTTTATAACTCAACCAAGGTCTGTCTGTCCTCTTTTTAGTTAAACTTCTTGTACGGTTCATCTTTTTTCTTTTTCTCTCCATCGCATCGATGCAAAAGTTCAGTTAAAAAGAATAGGTATACTTAAAGTGACGTCTACTAAGAGATTTTAAGTCCGTTCTTATTTCCAAGGTCTTGGGTAATGTCTTAGGCTAGTATTACATTTGTTGTACGACAAAAAACGGATGGATGTAATATTAGCTTTTTTGTTAATAGATATTTATGGCCCTTTGATTGATTCGTGACACTTTAAGGAGGTTGTAATGCAAACGCAATATATTAAGAATTACTTGGGAAAAATTATAGATTATTCTAAATTGTATTTAAAAGTAATAAAAAAAAATTAGAGATGAGAATTGAGCATTTGGATCAAAAGTTATTTCAAAAAGTAATATTTTTTTTTTAATTTGTACTCTAATAGAAATATATGAAAATGTATTGTAAAAATAATGATAAAATCTCAATTTTTTTTATACAAGCATTTTATGAATTCGAAAATATTTATTTGTTACAAATTCTAATTGATGAAGCTCTACGAAACTTTGCACAAGTCATTTTTAGTACCTGAAATATTTATACAAAAAAATTTTAATTTTTGTTTATAATAATAAAATAAAATATCAAATAAAATAAATAATTCATAAAAATGCTTAATAAAAAGAATGTTATGAACACAACTTTCACATGTAGTTTGTTTAAAACGTAAATATTAATATATGTATTTTAAATATTAATATATATATTTTATGCCCTTACAATCTCCTAAGACTGTACTTGAGACAGTATTAAATATAAGAATCGATTATGAATAGCGATCTAGTATTCAAAACGCTAAAGTCAGGTTATCTTCTTTTTAAATTAGTTTAACAATTAATTATGAAAAGGATAACGTGACTTTAGCGTTATTGCAAAAATTCCTATTAAGGCATTTCAGCCATATTGAATCGTGACGTCATAAGTCACGGCGAGAAATGTGTCATAAGCGACACGTTGATTTTTCTTGCATGCCATTTGTAAATAAAAAGAATTTGGATGAAATGAAATGATGAGATCTTTAAAACACTTGTAAAAATAGACGAAAACTATTCTTATCTATCTCTCTTAACAGTCAGTAAATAGTCGTAAAAGGCACGTAAAGTGCGTTTACTAGTTTTTACTCAATGCGCATGCGTAGCCTATTTTCACTTCACGAGCCTTTTTCGACTCTTTACTAACTATCAGGGGAAATAAGGAGTCTCAGTCCATTTTTACAAATGTTTTAAAGCGATCTCATTTCGTTTCATCCAAATTCTCTTTATTTACAAATGATATAACATAAGAAAAATCAACGTATTCTCGCTTATGACGTCAGGATTCAATATGGCTGAACTGACTACCAGGAGCCTTAACTAATAAGAGAATATTAGTATTTTAAGACACGTTACTTATAAGATGGTCATAAAATAAAATGGACTATAAATACGCTCATAAAATTGATGAAACTTTAAGGGTGATATTCATAATACATTTTTATTTCAAGGTTCATATTAGGTCATTTAAAAAGTATCCGCGGTTTTTTGTTCAATTTTTGAATGAAAAAACCGCGGATACTTTTTCCCAATATTTCAATCTTCAATAGCTGCATTCAGTACTATGAGCGCTCAGTGAGCAGTCGTGCTGGATATATTTAATGTCTTAAGATACTAGTACGAATTAATAATTAGTTCGTGACATCTTAAGACTATATCCAAGTCTTAAATATCAAAATTAATTATGAATATCGATCTAAATCTTAGGGGCTGTGCACAATGAAAAAAAATATTATTAGGAATAAGAATAAATAGTAAGATTTCATCTCTTATCAGAAATCAATCATTTCAACACCAAAATATATTATATATTATACTTTGATAGGTTAAAATCTTAATATTTATTCCTATTCCGAATATTGCTTTCATTGAGCACAGAGCCTTAAGCTATAAAAAATTAATCAATTCGAAACACAATGACAACAGTCGTATAGTTGCAATAGTAAAACCTTAAGAAATCGATCAATTACAGTAAAATGTGAGAAAAATAAATAATATAATTAGACAATTTCTTAAAACTTGATGGGCTTCCTACTAATAAGCTATTACTTAAGCTTTTATGCCATAAGAAATTAATCCATTTCTAGTCGATTATTTTCCTCGCATTCGACTGCCATTGATTGGTCAATTTTTTATGAGTCAAGGTTTAATAAGGGTCGACAGAAGTTGCGAATGATAAGAAAACGTATTTGCAGTGCTGATATATATATATATATATTTGCATTTTACTGTAGCTCTGTTCCTTTTAGCTAAAGTTTTTGCACGGCTCATCTTTCTTCCTTTTATCTCCGTTCTTTTTCTGGAGAGAAAAAGAGAAAAGATGAGCCGCATACAAAAAAGTTGAGCTAAAAAGAACAGGCTATATATTGTCTTATAAAAGAAATATTTCATCATGGAACTTGTTGTTGGCTTAGTATTTTACTTGAACTTGTATTTTATTAACTATGAAGCCCGCCAAAGAGCCGAAATTTTCAATTTCGCGATCGATTAAGTGTCAACCGTGATTAATCAATTCTGTTGAACAGCAAATGCGAGGTCAGTTCCCCATTGTAGCAATAAATGCAAATAAATTGATAGGAGATGGTAAGACCGACCCATACTCTGCTTACAGGGTGTAAAAATTCTTATACCATTTTGAGATACTCGCTGTAGTTTTAGTATCAGAAAAGAAAATGTCTAAGCCAATATCCGGTTAAGCCGCGCCGCGTGAATTCGTAGGACGGCCCACAGTCGAGTGGTTCCCTTTGATTTATTCTCCGTCCCCAATGTAGCCCCGAACCATCTTAAGAAACACCCTGTATATTATTTACTGACGGTGCAGATATAAATGAGATCTAGTGAGATATGAAAACAAATTTCTATTTTGCATTTTCTTTCCCCAAAAAAGTCGCTCTTTAGCAAAATGCAAGTAATTCTCCTAATTACGAATATCGCAAGTATATTGCAATTATAATATTTCAGATTGATTGCGTTGAAAGTCCGACAACCATATCGGCACGTAATTATCATTTCTGAAATTAATTCATTTATATGAATGTATATTAAGTTCAACATCTCAACAGACTGTAGTAGCGCTTCGTATTTAAAGTAATATATTGCAATTGTTTCAACATTTAATTATCATTCGGTAATAAGAAAAATTCGTCTCCACCATCGATCTTCAAGTTTTACATTTAAAAATTTCATTAGACTCAGTAGACGCCGCTAAAGTGAGATAAGTAATATATCTGATAGTTGACGAAAGCAAAAAATAAAATTCTAATGCAATCCAGTGTAACAAAAAAAAAACTTACTATTCCGTGAAAGAATGTTAAGAAACTTCAAGAGATTTCTTATAGATTTCCAATAGGAAAAAGAAAAAGGTACGCTCGCGTATTTATCCTTTCGTTAGACTCGATTTGTTGTTATTTGCATGGAATTGAAGACGGGCTATATAGCGATTGGCTGCATTCAGCAGAAAAAGCTTAGCTTTGCAACTATTGTCAAGTTGTTTAATCTAATTGATTTAGATCCAGTGAGGAACCGAGGACAATACGTCTTATGACGTATCAAGGACATTTAAAATAATAATTTTATATTAATAAAGGCTCTTTTTGCGGCAATTAATTGACACTCGTCAATTCCTAATCGGCAGTGTTGTTAGACGGGTCGGATTTTAGACGCATGCGCGTTCAATGTAGCTTCAATGTAACTTCAGTAACATATCGGTCACTCGTAAATAAGAGTAATTAGTCGCTTATGTAACATTTTTCCAAAAATGTTGAAAATTTTAATATATTTTACATATTTCACACATGTATACATACATAGAAATATATTAAATATATGTATACGTATGTAAAATATACTAAAATTTTCAACAAAGCATTTTCTAAGCGATTAACGATCTATCTACTAGTAACCGGTACGTTACTGAAGCTGCATTGAACGCGAATGCGTCTAAAACCCAGCCCGTCTAACAACACTGGCTTGACTGGCTTAGAGCGGCGGGTTCCAAGCTAAGTTCCAAGAGAAAAGTGCATAGTGGGGGAGAAGGAGGGAGAGTGTGCGCGCGCATGTACGACTTAGTACGATTGTACGCGCACCGAGCCGAGCAAACGCCACGCGTTGCGCAATGTACCAACTTTCGTTTGTCTGACAGCGACGGCGCGGGTGGAGGGGAGGGGGAGGGACGGGAAGGGAAGGGAAGGGAATGGAAGCGGGAAGGAGGGAAGGAGGGGAAAAAAAACCACGCGTTGTCAGCCGAGGGGGATTAAGGAATTCGCGGCAGCGAAGAGCAGCATCGTCCCCGAGTGATTCTACAGCGATGATGATGACGACGACGATGACGTTCTTACAAAGAAATCGACTAGCTCGTGTCAGCGACACTACGCGCGAGGCTAAAAACCAGGACGACGATCGCGGTTTCAGTCGCGGTGCGTTCCCACAATCACATCATGTCCGTCGCAAAATGGTGGCGTACGGCGGTGGAAATCCGGAGGGGAAACACTTTTCACGAAATCTCCCCGCGATTACACGTTCTCCCGGTTCCCGCACGCGTAAAAATGATCGGGATGAGGATCGAGAGAGAGTGGGTTTACGCTTGACCTACCTGAGGCGAGTTATCGGGCACGAGCGGGGACGCGAAGAGAAGCGAACTAGATACACTATCCGTTTCCTCGCACACTCCGAACTCCGAACTCCGATGGGATGGGATGGCAGTGGACGCTGACGCTGACGCTAACACTGACGCTCTCTCGCCTCTCGAGTCCACGGCTGGCTCTCTCGCGCCACTCAGGCTACTCTTCCCTACCGCCCCTCGCCTTACTTGCCTACTCCCCGCCACCACCTACCGCGGGAAATTAAATCGCGCGAGAGGCACGTAGGAGCCCGCGGTGTGTCGGCGGCCAATCCGACGGCGGGCCGTTGCCCGGCCGGCGCACCTCATTGGTCGTCGGTGCATCGAGTGCAGCGGCGAGTGCCCTGTCAATCGCTCGCGGCTCGAAATCGTAGGTAGCTGGTGGATATGTGTGGTACGTACGTATATACATACTATGCTCTCTCTCTCTTCCTCCCGTGCCAAATGCCACTACTACGGGTCGCCGTCCCATCCTCCGTTCCACACCAACGATTCCACGAACCGCGCCGCGAGGAAGAACGCGGACAATGTCGCGACCCGTATGGAGACATTGGAGACAGTTCAGCCTGCTCGGCTCGGTCGTTTCGCGGCGAAGGGGTTAAGCGGGTTAAGGGGAGGGAAGGGGAGGGGAGGGGAGAGTTGGATCGATCGATGGAAATCTAATGAGTTTTCAGAGATGTAACTTGTAAGCGAGAGAGAGCGAGCGAGAGAGAGAGAGAGAGAGAGAGAGAGAGAGAGAGAGAGAGAGAGAGACCGATTTTCCGACGCGACGCGACGCGAGCGAGATCAATAACGTAGAGCGGTAGAGCAGCCACTCGCAACGAGTCGGCCGCGTGTTTATGCGCGCATTTACGCGCTTACGCGTCCCGCCGTCGCGCGCGCCAATTAAAGCCCATTCTACAGTGCATTAGTAAGACTGTCGTAAGAGGGAGTAAAATATGACGTAAAGCATTAAGACCGGAAATAAGCGAAATGGATTATTCCCATTTCGTACGCCTTATCACTTTACTACCAGCCAATCAAAGCTCATTATGAGACAAGGCGTGCAAGAACTTCTTACTTCCTACTGCTTACTACCATTGTAGAGTGGACTTAAGAGGTGGACGTAGCTGCTTCACGCTCGCGCGTAACCGCGAGCTCACGTGACCGCGTTATATGCATACGCGCTTCTATTCGGACAACGCTAAACGCTATTCGAGTAACACGTATACGGTATACACGACAAAGGGGAAGGGAACATCGACGTCCGACGATAATAGACCTGCAAACTTTTGCAGCGTTTATCTCTCTCTCTCTCTTTTTCTTCGATATGGAAGGGACTGAAAAGAACAAATCTATTACATATTCGTATATAGTCGACCGTGGCGGAGAAGAGCAGCGGGGGGGGGGGGGGGGGGGGGGCTCCGCTCGTTATTCATTAAGCCTCGCGTTGCACTCGAGAGTGAGAATTGAACTCGGAATTCAATCAATCGATCGGAACGAAACGGATTAAAATTAATACTATCCAACTAGTCCAAGTCTAATCTCCAATTCCTCAATCTCTCCATTGTCTCCCACGCGTAATGTGACGTAGACTCCATTTCTCTCCTTGTTCTCCCGATTGCGCGTAGAGAAACCGAGAAAATCGAGTATCGCTCGCGATATAGAATGTAGAATATATAGAGTATAGATTATTCGCGCGAAATAGTCTCATATTCCATGTTCATGCCTTCGAGCATGGGGAGGATGGATATATGTACTCACAGCACTCACAGCTTAATTACACCAAGCGTAAATTCTCTCGTCGCGTCGTATCGTCCGCTCCGCTCCGCTCGGCTCGGCTCGGCTCGGCTCGCGAGCGCGGCACGCGAGAGGGCCGCGATCGAGCGATCAGCTGTTCACCAACCGCGCGCATTCCACTTCTTCTCTTTCGCGCCTCGTGCGGTGGGGCC